GCAGGAGGCCTGCTTCTCCCTCTCCCACTCCCCCTGCTTGTGTTCCCTCTCTCGCTGTGTCTCTCTCTGTCAAATAAATAAATAAAATCTTTAAAAAAACAAAACAAAAAAAACCTAGTTTTCATTGAAATCACACTATCTCCAAGGAAAAAGATCTCAACCTCTGAAATTTGTCCTGCCTGCTCTTCTCTAATCACCAAAACATCTACACCCCCCGCCCCCCCTCCCCCCGCAGAGACTGCTCTGTGTCCTTGTGATTACCCCTACTCCACATCCTTTGTCTATTTCTGCTTGCAGAGTGCATTACCTTACTCTGGGTCTGCCTTTTTTTTTACCCGACGAGAAATTGAGACCTGTATTCTCCCCAATCTCAGTAACATTCACTACCACTTGATAATGTATATGCTACAGACTGAATATTTGGGTCTTCTTAACATTCATATGTTGAAACTTAATGCCCAATGTGATGGTATTAGGAGGTGGAGTCCTTGAGAGGTGATGAGGGCAGAGCTTTTATAAATGGGATTAATGCCTTTATAAAAGAGACCCCAGAGAGCTAGCTGGCCCTTCCCCCATGTGAGGATACAATAAGAAAGCAACATTCTGCAGCCTAGAAGAGCGGGCTCACTAGAACCTGACCATACTGGAACCTGGATCTTCCAGTCAGCATAGTTGGATTGGTAGAGGAACTAAAGCAAAGTGTGATAACCATAAATGTCATCTCTCTGTCCTTATGAATTCTCATTTATTCTTTTCCTATTCTTGATTGTTAACTCTGGTTGTTCTTAAAGTTCACCTAAGAAGTTTTTTTTCAAAGACCTATCTAAGTCTCACCCCCAAGCCACCCCAATGTAATAGTTCTGGGTTGGAGCCTAAATATCAGTGTTTTTAAAAGGACTTCAGGAAATTTTAATGGTATATCCAGGGTTCAGGACCAATGCCCCAATGAATCATCAATATGTAGCTGATGTTTCTCCAGTCTCTTTAAGCTAGACTCTCTGCCCTGATTGCCTTGATCAGAAGCTGCAATTCCTGCTATTGAGATTAAGGTCATGAGATATGAGTTGTTTTACCTCTCCTCTGGTACGACAGAATAGTAATAACGAGCTAGCATTTGCTGAGCATCTATTATGAATCATGTATGTTTCTAGGGACTTAACATCAATTCATTTAATCCTTACCACACCCTATGAAGAAGGTATTATCATTTTCATTATTTTATAGATAAGTGAGGCACTTAGAAATTATGTAACTTGCAGCAGATCAAAGCCAGTAAATATGAGTGTTTGATATTAAAATCCATGTCCTTTGGTTTCAGAGCCTGTGAATCTAACCACTATTGACTTTAATGTCTCTCTATACCAATATATCCTTGTACTTTAAGTTTTTCCTATTGAATGATCCTATGTCTGAAAAATCATGTGTTCTATTCCTAGTGAAAGCTGTACCTTCCTGTTATTCTCCTGATCTCTCCCTTTGAGACTGGAGGTTGCTCAGGTCCCTTTCTCATTTGCATGTGTTCTAAAGGAGGAAAGGGGCAAAATAAGCAAGTAAGTGAAATGGATTTTATGCCATCTGCCAACACATGTTCTCTTCTTTCCAAGTACTGTACTCCCATCATGAGAGGAGTATTGATATGAGGAAGAAAAGTAACAGAGACTGTTAGCATAACAGCACATTAAAATTATGGTGTGAAAGAAAATAAATATTAATAACATGAGGTTGTTTCTTCTTGTTGATGTTTTATAATGAAGAACTTACTATGAAGAAAGACCTAAATTCTCCTCCATCCAGCTCTGAACAGTTGCTGAAGGATCTCACATCACCCTCCAGGTTGGGGCTTAAATCTTGGCAAGTTAGGGGAGGACATAGATGGAATTCACCAGTGAAGCTACCTGGGCCTGGCATTTTCTTCGTGGGAAAGCTTATTTCTTTAATAAGTATAAAGATATTCATATTTTCTGTTTAATTGTTAAGTTTTTAGTAATATGTGCCTTTCAAGGAATGTATTCATTTTATGTAAGTATCAAACTTATTGACATAACATTGTTCATGCATGATGTTTCCTTATGATCATTTAAATATTCTGTTGTGATATCCCTGTTTTTTCCATTTATGATCTGGGTCATTTTCATTTTCTCTTTTATTATCCCAACCTGTCTAGTGAGAAAACAGTTTTACTAATCTTTGCAAAGAACCACTTTTTATTTCATTGATTTTTTTCTATTGTCTTTCAGTTTTCTACTTCAAGGTTTTGTGTTTTTTATCTCTCTCCTATTTAATTTGTATTTAAACTGTTCTTTTTATAATTTCCTAAGGTGAGAGGTTTAAATCACTTTATAACTTAATTTTTCTAACAGAATATTTATAACTTCTAATATTCTGTCGATTACTCTTCTAGCTGCTTTCCACAAATTTTGAGAAACTGTGTGCATTAGTATTTGTTTATAGTAGTTTTCAATTTTCCACACAATTTCTTCCTTTATCTATAGGTTAATAGATGCTATTGCTAGTTTTTCAAATACTTGAGCATATTCCTGATATCTTATTTTTATTAACGTCTAGTTTAATTCCATTGTGACCAGCTAACATACACCATATGATTTCATTATTCAGACTTTCTTATGACCCAGCGAAGAGTCCCTCTTGGTGAATGTTCCACATGTACATGAAAAAAAAATGTATAATCTGCTGGTTAGGTGAAGGGTTCTCTAAATATCAATCAGTGCAAGTCAGTTATTAGTAACGTGTAAGTACTCCATCTCTTTTCTGATGTTCTTTCTACTTTGTCAATTGATTAGTGAGAGAGGGGTGTTGAAATCTCTAATTGTAACTGAATTTATTTCTCTTTTGAATTTTGTTAGGTTTTGCTTCATATATTTTGCTACTCTGTAACTGGTGACATACACATTTAGAACTGTTATGCTTCCTGATGAAATTATCCTTTAATCATTATTAAATGTCTCTTTTATCCCTGTCATCTCCCTTGCCCTGAAACCTACTTGAGTTTTCTCATATTATAGCCACTTCAGCTCTCTTATGCTTTTGCATGATCTATTTTTTCCATTTTTTTTCTCATTATCTAGTTGTAAAAATATTTGAATGGTTTAAATACTAAATCTTTAAATATTCAAAAATATTTAAGATGGTGTTCTTGTTAATGGTTTGGTCTAGCTTCTAAAAAAAAAAAACACATCTGGACAATCTTTGCTTTTGTTTAGGGTGCTAAGACATTTTATATTTATTGTTACTATTGGTATTTTTAGATTTAGGTCTAGTGCCTTATCATTGCTTTCAATTTGCCCCATCATTTTTTGTTTCCTTTTTCTCTTTTTTGCCATCCTCTGGATTAATTGAATGTTAATTAACTAATTTTATGATTTTATTTAACTTCATTAGCTTTTTAGCCCAAATTTTGTTGTTTTGCTTTACCAGTTATCTTATATGTTACGGTATACATCTTTAAATTATCACAGTATACTTCAGGTGATAATATAAAACTTCACATATAAGAATCTTAGTATATTTGCATACTTAATTTGATTCACCAAATTTGTCTATTTTATATTTTCCTTTACCATTTTGTATTTATATTTTGTTGTTTTTTTATGTTTGTTTTCTAATTTATTACTGTATTCTCTGCCTTTATCCTTATTAGATTATTTTAGTATTTTTTAGTTTTATTTCAAAGTTCTTATTTTTACTTTTTAAATTACATTTACTATTTCTTTTTAATAATAAATGTATTTTCAGCTCTCAATTTTCTGTGTACTACAGACTTGGCCCTATCCCATGGGTTTTAATAAGTAGTATTCTGACTGCTATTCATTTATAAATACAGAAAAACTAGTTTAAATTACCTTGTTTGATCCATGGGCTTTTTATGAAATATTGATAGTCTTATTAATTTTTACTACATTTGCATTTTGGTT